AGCTAGTATTGCCCTCAAATGGGGCCCTCTGAGGTCATCTAGGAAAATACAAGGCTCTAGGGACTTAGCTGGGCTGCCTATGAAGTCACCTGGGGGCTTGAAACATCTTGATGCCTGGGCCACACCCTAGACCTGTCGCTCAGCATCATCAGAGGTGGAACGCCCACACCAGTATTCTGTGAAATCTCTCCAGGTGATCCAAAGCGCTCGGGGGATGAGAATTACTGGTGTGAGCATCCCCTCTGCCTCCACGACCCACCGCCAGCAGGCTGGCAATGCCAAAGTCATATCTAGAGAGCCTCATGTCTAGGTAGGGATCTGTGCCAGGCTCATGGGCTAAATGTACCAGGATTCTTCTAGTCTGTGGGAGACACTGGAGGGAAGAGGAATCCCATCGGCTGGTCAATTGGAGATGGGAGTCTCCACCAGGCTCTGCCATTTCCTCCCCCGGGTCACCATCTGCTACTGGCAAACGGGTCTCACTCATTCTCCTTCTCATGCTGGAGGCAGATGCTAGGTACAGAAAGCCTTTTGCAGGGAAATACACAAATCGGGAAAGTCATTTGGGGGTGCGGACCCCTGAGGAGAGACGTGGGGTACAAAGGACTGCTGGTTTGGGAGACGATGAGACTGAACACCAGATCAGAGCCCCACATAAAGATGATGAATGTAGAAGTGATCGAACTTTTAATGACGGGAAGGGTGTCCCGAGCACAGCTTTTAGAAGTTAGTAAAGCATGTGGTTGAAACATCTGTCTTCGCTCTGTAAAACGCAGCCCTGCACACATCTGGCGAAGGGGTGCATGTCGGGGGCTGGGTGCAGCTGGTCTGGGGAGGCCAAGGCAGGGGCCAGGAAGTCGGGTGCTGGTGTGTGACTGGATGAGGGGCAAGGCTGCCTTGGGGCCTTTCAGGTGTGCAGTGACCAGGTGTCTGCTATGTGGCAGGTAGCACCATCTTTAACAAGGAGGCAGGGGTGCTGGGTGAAGGGTGTGCACAGCCTGCTGGCACTGAGCACCTCTCAGGGGCCCCCTTTCATTCCTGAGAGCACTGACAGGACTCACAGAAGCCAGGTTATTACTGCTGGCATCTGACAGGCACACCAAGGTGCAGTCAGCCTTCTCCTCCCGCCACACTATGGGCTGCCTTCCCTCTAGCCCAGTAATGATTTGAGATCTGAACACTGAGAAAACAGGGCTGGGTCAGTGAAAGAAACTGCTCCTAGCTGTTTCTTTTGCCAAAAAGTGTAATTAGCATGGCTGGATGCTAAGTGCAAGAGTCCCCCAGGCTCCCGGCCCCCGGGCACTCCTAGGAGATGACAGCAGGCCGATACCTGGGATCTTCACCTGGCTGTCTGCCTGAAACACACCCAGTCCTCGGCACACAGTGACAGATGAGCAGAAATCGGCATCCTCTTGCCTCGCGTCTCCTCAGGGGAACCCCTCATGCTCAGAGCTCAGGGGCCTGGGGCCCTCTGGAATGGCCTTCAGATTTGCAGACAGGACCAAACTTCTCACCTACACCAGCCTGCAGGAAAACGTGCTCAAAGCCTCACCAGCAAGCACGGTTTCCCCTTCTAGTTTTTCCTGCTTCCTTCCTTCTAACCTTTCTTCCTCTCTTTCTTCTTCCTTCCATTCTTCATTATTTACTAAAACCTATTTATTTATTTATTTATTTATGACAGAGTCTCACTCTGTCACCCAGGCTGGAGTGCAGTGGTGTAATCTTGGCTCATTGCAACTTCAGCCTCCCAGGTTCAAAGGGTTCTCATGCCTCGGCCTCCCAAGTAGCTGGGATTATAGGTGCACGCCACCATATCCAGCTATTTTTTTTTTTTTTATTTTTAGTAGAGACGGGGGTTTCACCATATTGCCCAGGCTGGTATCGAACTCCTGACCTCAGGTGATCCACCCACCTTGGCCTCCCAGAGTGCTGGGATTACAGGCATGAGGCACCACACCCAGCCAGTTTAACCTCTTTTAGAGGTCGTGTACAATCGCATCAAAATTGAAATCACACTTGCTCTTGAACTCCACAGTTCCACATGGACACTTTCTGTCTCCGGTACTCTTGCCCCTCGGCACCAGGACAGCCATGTGCAAGAACTCTCAGCACTGTCTGCCAGAGCCTGGGATGACAGATGAACCTTATGACCACCAAGAGGGGACGGGGCAAGCTGGTGACAGCACCTGTAGCCACAGAAGGCTGAGCAGCTGCTAGAAGGGGGCAGAGCTCTATGACCTACGGAGGGAGATCTCCAAATATATTCAGTTACTGAAAAAACGGCATAAGTATGAACACTATGCTCCTTGTGTGAAAATAAAAGGGTGGGGTGGGAAGAGGATTAAGCAGTAACTGCAGGGGTTTTTTTTTTCCTCCCCCTTAAAAATAGATCTGAAATAAATATTGCAAAATGTCAGCATTTGTAAATTCTGGGAGGTGAGTTCACAGTTACTGTTACACAATTATGCTTCAAACTTTGTGTTTAAAATATTTTAAAAATTAACAAAATGCATATGGGAGATATATAAATGTATTTATTCTGGTAAAGAACAGCTAACACTTTCATAGTTCTCACACAGGCCAGGCATTGTCATGAGCCCCGCCTTTATAGAGGAGAAACTGAGGCACAGTATTTCACTTGAAGCACAGAGCTACAAAGAGGGAGACAGCATTTGAACCCAGCAAGCTGGCACCAAAGGCTGTGCTCACAACCCCCACACTACACTGAGGGTCTAGATCACACCCAGAAAGCTGGCATCAGGGGTGCTGGTGGGCTTGGGATGGAGGGAATTTTACTTTTGACTGTACACCTGTGTACTATTTGAACCTTTTACATGTGCACATTCCTTTTTTTTTAAATAATGTTTTTAAAGTTGGGCAAGTCCCAGTTACCAAGAAGTAACAGAATCCTGACAGGTGTGAAGCTTAGGGAGGCAGAGGAACTGTTCTAAAACCAGTAGTCCCAACTCCCAGCTGGCCTCCAGGGTTGCAGCAATTCAGAGCTTGGAACGCCACTACTTCCTGTCTATTCTGCACCCCTTCCCTCCTGTCTTCCGGTACAGACCCCACCCTCTTGTGGCAGGTTGGCCATGTGACCCCAGCGGTCACACGATTGGATCAGCTATGGGTACCAGATCTAAGCCCAGCCAATCAGAATCCTGCCCTGGACTTTATGCTAATGGAAGCTCCTTTTCCTTACCATTAGGGGACCCAGAATGCCAGCAGCCAGGGGTCCCTGACCAAGCATGTAATTGGGCACAAGTATCAGTCCAGGGGACAAGAGGGAGGTACAAGAACTGGTTTCAGCTGCATTCACATCCTGGGCCCTGTCATCTCAAAGCCAGCTCCCTCGCTGCCTTCCAACTTGGTTTCCTTCACTTTGGACTGAGCTGAGTTCTCACTGAACAGAAACCCACAACCCAGAACAGGGGAAGCGCATGGCCATGATTAAGCCCTGCACCAATGGCAAGTGGGAGGCCAGAATCCAGCTCTGCCCTCTGTGCGGTCTCAAGGGAGTTACAAACTTGTAAGCCTCAGACATGCTCCCTGAGCTGCCACCAAGCTGCGTCATGGGGCTGTCCTAAGGATTAATGTATTAATCCAATCCCACGTCAGTCATTAATAAAATTAATAATATGGTGACAACTAAGCCCACTGCCTTTGGAAGTAACTCCTTACTAACTACATTAAACCCAAACTCGAAGCCCTGGAAAAGAGGATCCCAGCTGCGAGACAAAACAGCAGACGGAAAGGTAGCTGGAGTCGCTTCTCCCTTTTGTGTCCCTCTAGATTCACTCTCCGCTCTTTCTCGCTGACCTGGGAACATGCCCATGTGAGCTATATCAATAAGCTCCCTTGGCCCGGGGGCTTCTAGCAGCCTCAGCCAACGGATTGAGAGGGGGCAGGACCGCGGCTCAGAATGTTAATTTCCCTGGAGGGTCCCCATGGCTGGCTACATCCTTTGAGCAAAGGTCACAGCTCTCAGGTGCCCCTCTCACTCCTCCAGCATTCCTGTCTGCTAACGATAACTCCTTTCCCACTCAGGCCCAGGGGTGGGAGTAGCGCCCCACACTGCTAGCTCCGGGGTTCTGCATGGGAGGCTTAGCCACACTTTGTAAATACTGCTTTTATTAAAAACTCTCCTCAAATTATCCAATTTGAGTGTGTGATCTGCTTTTCTCTGAGACCCTGGCTAGCTGACTGGTTCTTTCTCAGGTTTCTCCAGGCTCTGGCCAGACAGAATCCTTCTCTGCAGAGGACGCTGCTCCAGGGTCCCAACTCTGGCCACAGTCCCCCTTTCCCTCCAAGCTTCTGTACCCCAGCAGTTCTCTCCAAAATCCGTCAGTCCCCAAAACCAGAGAATGGACCTCTGATGAATGCATCTGAGAGCCCTCCAGCCCCAAAAGGAGACAAGCAGGGTCACATCTGGGTTCCAGAAGTGTCCAGAGAAGCAAACCACTGATTTCTACACACCAGAAAAGATACCTGAGAGTGTATATTTATATAAAGATACATAGAAATGGACAGATGGCGTCTATCTATAGATACAGAAAGCTCTGTTAGAGAACGTGTAGGTACATATATATCTGCCACATCCTCCACCACCACCAAGAGCACACAATTGCCCGGATCTTGGAAAACCACACACTTGTTTAAGTGGTTGATTTCCTCCCTAGCAGTTTCCAAAATGAGAAGGATGGTCTCAGGGATGGTCCTTAAATATGTGCATGTGTATCGCCCTAAAGAAGAGAGGAGGAGGAGGAGGAGGAGGAGGAGGAGGAGGAGGAGGAGGAGGAGGAGGAGGCGGCGGAGGAGGCGGCGGAGGAGGCGGCAGCGGAGGAGGAGGAGAAGTGGATTTTCATGCTGTGCATGGCAGAAGAGATGGGACTGCTTTGGGGGCAAGGGCTTGATCCCACTGGAAAAGCGTGAAAGACAACTCCAGAAAAGACAGCTAAGGTTTCTAGGTTGGGACATAAAAACACAACAGCAAGAAGTTCGCGCTCTGCAGTCCACTGAAATCCCTTGTAGCACATTACAATCAGTTAAGGGCAAAATAAAATCAGGATAATACTAAGAGGTAGCAGCTGTTTATCTTCTCGGAGATTTCGAGGGTCTCTGGAAGCCGGGCCAGGGAAGGGTACTCTCCTGGAAGAGGCTGGATGGGACAGAGTTGGGGCTGAGGGCTCCCTGGCTCTGGGAAGGGTATAGGCTGATCCGAACAGACGACGCTGCAGCTCCTGAGCCTTGAGGGAGCCTCTGCCCATTACAGGCCACTCCAAACCAGAGTCATTTCCTGGGCTAGTTATGCAGTCCCCACAACATATAAATAAAAGTTTAGTTCTGTGTTTCCATAGATCTTCTACATGAAGGCTAGCTAAATATTAGTGGAGTAACAATAATTATTAATAACAATAATCGTCATAATAACAATAATTAATAGAATAATAATGCCTTGGGGTGTTGGGGGCAGGGTCCTTCATATGGCGGGGTGGGGCCCTGGGGAGGGGCTCTATGTCTGGTAGAAGTGGTGGTAATGGTGGTGGTGTTCGTGGTGGTGGTGGTGCTCGTGTCTCTGGACGGGCTGCCCGGCCTGGCTCTCGTACACCACCACGGCAGGCAGCTCCCGCAGGTGCTCCCGCCCCAGGACGGGGCCGCCCGGGGCCAGCGGTGCCTGCAGGCCCCGGCAGCCCTGCTGGCTTTCCTTGGCTCGGTGCTTGTGCTTCTTGTGCCCGAGGGGGGCCAGGGAGGGGAGGAGGGCTGGGCTGGTGGCCAGGTGGGCGGAGGGGGACACCGCAGGGACGGCGGGTCCCAGAGGGGGTTTGTTTCTTGCCCCTCTGGCCACGTGGCCCACACTCACGCTCTTGCCCTGGGCCCTGGGGGACCTCACAAAGTGCTTGCTCCCGTCCTGGGTGCCCCGGAGCCGTTGCTGGAGCTCCGAGACCTTGGCGATTGGGGTGTCAAGGAAGTGGAAGGAGCCTGGGTCTGCGCCTTGGGGCTTTCGGTGTGGGACGTGGATGGCTTCCGGCTCATGGGAGCGAGATCGAGTGGGGTTGGAGGTGCGGGGGGGCAGTTCTGACTTCTGGGCCACAGAAGGGGAGCCTAGGAACCAATTCAACAGACATTTAATGAGCACCTACTGTGTGCTGGGGTCTCGTGCTGTACCCTGGACATCACCCCCACCCCCAGTTCTCCGAGACTAAAAAATATAAATATTCTTGATCAGAGCTACTCCCCAATATCCTGACTGTCCCTCACTGCCTTGCAGGAAAACTCTCTGAAATGGAACTTTCCCATCTGCTAAGTGAGAAGAACCAGTTCTGTGGTAGGTCTTCAAAAACACTCTTCGAGAGAGAGCCGAGGAAGAGAGATGGCAGCAGAGACCCTGAAAACTGTCTATGGTCACTGGGGCAAGAAAGAACTCTTAAGCATATTGCTAAAAACATACAGAAGTAACTGACAGAGGAATTAAACCTATAGAAGAAAGGGAGAAGGGAGTTGTGGGAATGAAATTGAGCAAGGAGTCAACACATGTCAAGGCTGATAAAGACACAGCCACGTTGTACTTAGGGAAACCGAGGATCTTGCTGGAAGAAACAGCCAGGAGGGGTCAAAGTAGCTGCCTGGGGAACAGGACTTGGGTGGGCAGGGATGGGGCACAGAACTGTTGTTTGTCATTGGGTGCTAAGCCCTTAGATACTATTTGATTTTGCTCAGTTTTGTGCATGTTAATTTTGAAACCGTTTTTAAGGTAACTTTCTCTAAGAAGAGCCTTTGACCTGTCCCGTAATGCTGTCTTCCCCAAGCCTGGGGTAGCAGTGAACACCACCCTCGTCGCCCGTGCAGCCACGCCCTGCCCTCATCGATCATCGCAGGGTGCTTGAGTCCCTTACCAGGCCCAAACTGGGAGGTGTAGTTTTCTATCCCAGCGAGATCTAAGTAGTGGTTTCTCCTCTCGATGTTCTCATCCACGCAATGGTGGTAGCAGCCAGACTGCTCCAGGCGGCTGTCACCCTGGAACCTATGGCAGGGAAGGCAAGTGAGTGGAGTGACACTGAACACCAGGTGGTGGCAGCTGCATAGGCTACTGGGAAGCCCCCAGAACAAACTCTGGACCCTTCGTTCATTTCCTTCTTGGCCTTGGGAGAGGGTGGGGAGGAACAGTTCTCCCTGTCAACTGTGCCTCCATTTCCTTTCCTGCCAATGGAGAGACACACCACAGCCCATGGCCTGACTTCCTTGCAGTTTCTAGGAGGAGTGGACAGGGGTTGGCTTTGAACAAGTTCAAAACAAATGTGAGAGGTTATTGGCAAACTTCTAAGAATCCCCCAGTGCCAGGCTTCAAGCCGTATGTGCCTGCTACAGGTAGGTGGCCTAAACCCCAGCCTGGTTCCCCAGGGGGTGCAGGCAGCAGAATTCCCTCATACTGTTGGAGTTGGACCTGGCAGACCCCATGACCTGTCCTACAGCCCAGGATGGGTCTTACAAGTGTAAGAGTGTGTGTGTGTGTGTGTGTGTGTGTGTGTGTGTGTGACTAACACAGTGTGTATGGAGAGGTGGGGAGAGATGCTGTCAGAGGCTCTCTTTTTTTCCCTGCAGGGCTTGGGGCTCCCCAGCCCTCTCCTCCAAGGACCTCTGCGAGCTGCTCCCATCCTGGTTCCTTCTCACACATCGCAGCACTACCTTCCCCCAGGATCTCCAGCCAGCCTGGGTCCCTCTGATTCTCAGCCCTGTCCCCACATTGGGCTGTGACCCTGCTTGAGCTATGTTTCTACTTTCCCCTAAGCGAGTACTAATCCCGCTCCAGTCATTCCCTTGCTGTTTGCACGCTAGAGGTTAACACAGCTTCATGCCTGCCGAGTTACTGCTGTTTACTCAATGCCTTTCTTTAAACGATCTCTTTCCTTTCCTCCCTTCCTCCCTTGCAGTTGAAGAAATAACAGGTGAAAGGTAACTGCAGCCTAATAATTCCTTATCCGCAATTCTGAAATCCAAAAAGCCTGAAAACTAAGATTTTTCATAACCCATGTGGAAGCCAAGCCCACCCTAAAGGGATGGGAAAGTGTTTAAGGTCTTTATCTCAGTGTGAATATCCAATCATCTCCCAGCAGAAACAGCAAGGCGTCAGAGCCTGATGCGCCGCTGGGAGCCCTGCCAAAGCCCAGCAAATGCTGGACTCCAATCTTGTCTGTCCAAGGTGTGTTGCATAAAACGATGTAGTTATTTGTTAAGGTTTTTGTTTGATTTATGACTCTGTGCATCAAAAGTGTTGGCTCCCTGAAGAGAACACAGACCAGAGCCAAACTTCCTGCTCTGAGTCCTCCAGATCCAGGTACACAGCCGGAGGGCTCAGGCTGTGTACATCCATATCCAGGTACACAGCCGGAGGGCTCAGGCTGTGTACATCCAGATCCAGGTACCCAGCCGGAGGGCTCAGGCTGTGTACATCCAGATCCAGGTACACAGCTGGTGCTCAACATATGCTCCTGTGCATCATGCCGACGTACCTGAGTGGGGCTCGCTGCTTCTTCTCCCAGCTCCGCAGCTCCTCAGCGGGCTTGGTCTCTGCTCGGGGCCTCGTGCTCTGCAGGTCTGAGTCCGGTCGAGAAGCACAAGAGACCCCAGGTGAGCTGCCTGTTCCCACCCTGCCCGGGGGCTGCCTGGTGTTCAGCTGCTTTGCAAGGCCACTGTGAGAGGGTTCCCCGAGCTGGGGCTAAATCAAGGGCTCTAATAGCTATCTGCCCTGGGCATGTCCCCATCTAGCCTCACCTCCTCCCCAGACTCCCCTTCCAGCCTCACCTCCTCCCCCTCCAGCCTTACCTCCTCCTGGCTGGCCTCAAGGCTTGCAGATGCCATGCTGCCCACAACACCAGCCTTTGCTCCAGCTGCATTGCTCTGCCTGTGCAAGGCCTTTCACCCGGAATCCCTTCCCTCCTCTTTCCACACTTCCTCCTACCACTTCAAGGACCCTTTTGAACCCCACCTGTCCACAAAGCAGCTGCCCCAGAAAACCCACAGGGAGGGATCTGACCCTTCCAGGCAGGGGCTGGTCCTTCCTGAGAGACGGGAGGACCTTGTTGCCCAGGCTCAGCCCTGCAGCCCCTCACCGGCCTGATTGACAAGGACGCTCCTCTTGCTCTGGCTGCCATCGGGGGCCACAGTGAGCTTTACCCGCAGCATCTTGCTTGATGTTGGGGAGTGGTTGACGGAGGAGTCCACCACCTCATAGATGGTGTGCAGCAAGCTGGTGATGTCCTGAATGGGAGGGAAGCGAAAACCCACGCGGGGTTGCAGTCACAGGGCCTTGAAAATAGAAACCAGAGGGCCTGGTGGACGCTGCAGGCCTGAATCCCTCTGGCTGCCACATAGCAGAGCCTAAGGCAAAAACCTGTATGTCTGAGGTTCATTTGGGAGGAGATCCTAGGAAGCAGGAGGGAGGGAGCAGGGAGAGAGAAGAGGAAAAACCCACAAGAGAAAAGAAAAAGAGCAGGTTACAGCCAAGGGCAACCGGGGCTCAGTCGCACTGGGGCCCTTGAGGGAGAGTGTAGAGCCCACCTTGGAACAGCCTCATTCAGATAGAGGGGGGTTAGGAATGGACTCTCGTTCCTCACTGCCTGAGAGCTCCCCAAGGATGCACATTCCCTGTACTTTGGATTTTTGTTTGAGATGCGGTCTCACTCTGTCCCCCAGGGGGGAATGCAGAGGTGTGATCATGGCTCACTGCAGCCTCGAACTCCCGGTCTCAAGCAATTCTCCTGCTTCAGGCTCCCTAAGTGCTGGTATTACAGACATGAGCCATGGGCCACTGTGCCCCACCCTGCCTTGTGCTTCTGGGCTCCCCTGCAAGGGCCAAGCCAGCTCCCTGTACCTGAGAAGGGTCTTACAGTGGGTGCCATCTACCACGGCAGCAGGTGAACTTCGAGGTAGGCCCAGGGAAAACTGGGTGGGGACAACAACAGCATCTGCTTCGGGTTTGAAATGAAAAATGGAAAGGGAGGCGTGTCCCTGCTATGGGCTGAATTGTGGCTCCCCATTCAACTGCAAGTCCATAGGTTGAAGCCCTGACCTCCACTGTGACTGTATTTGGAAGAAGGAGATAATTAAGGTTAAACGAGGTCATGAAGGCGGGATCATGATAGGATCAGGGCCCTCAGAAGAAGAGGAGAGGCTAGGGATACGGCTCACACCTGAATTCCCAACACTTTGAGAGGCCAAGGTGGGAGGATCACTTCAGCCCAGAAGTTCAAGACCAGGCTGGACAACATAACATTCTCTACAAAAAAATTTAAAAAAAAATAGTCATGTGTGGTGGTGCACACCTGTAGTCCCAGCCACTTGGGAGGCTGAGGTGGGAGAATCACTTCAGCTTAGGAGTTTGAGGCTGCAGTGAGCCATGAGAGTACCACTGCACTCCAGCCTGGGCAACAGTGCAAGATCCCATCTCTTGTAAAAAAAAAAAAAAAAAAAAAAAAATAGGAAGAGACACCAGAAGAGGTCTCTCTCTCTACCACATGAGGACACGGTGAGAAGGTGGCCCTCGCCAGGAACTGAAGCAGGTGGCACCTTGGAGGACTTCCAGCCTTCAGAACCGTGAGGAACAACTTTCTGCTCCCTAAGCCACCCAGTCTGTGGTATTTTGTTATGGCAACTTGAGCTGGCTGAGACCGTCCTAAAAGATAAACTCATCTGTGAGAACTTGACTATATCTTATCTCCTCTCTGAGCCTCAAGTACCCCTCAACCAGAACAGGGGTGTCTACACAGTGTTCTCTGGGTGTCCCACAGCCCTTCTGATTGGGGCTGGAGGGCACAGATTCCCCTCACTAGGCCCTTTCTGTCTGGGTACCTGCTGAGGCCACTTGTCTGGTAGGGGTGAGGCGGGTAATGTCCTGCTTTAAATGGCATTGGAAACCTCTGGAGAAGACATTGTTTCTCTATCGATCAGGCCCATCCGTGGTCAGTTACCTGCCCCGTCATCCTCCACCTCCTGCCTATAAGTCTTGCAGGCTGAAGTGGCTGTGGCAACCCAGCGCAGCCCCAGCCAGGCAGAGGTGTGGGTGGTTGGCCCAGCATGGTAGACAGAGGTGCTGGCCCTGTCCTGGGAGGCGCAGCCACACAGCTCAGCTGACCTGCCCTTTGACCATGCAGTTGGGAGGGGGGAGTCACACAGAAAAGTCAGAAATCCAGGATTTTCTGTTACATCTTCAGAATCACTGATATTGGCAACTGATGTTTAACAAAGCCCTTTGGGGGACCAGAGCAGAGCATCTGGAGCCAGACTGGAATTGTGGGGGCCACCAGTTTGAGACCCAGGCTCCAGGCGCTCCCATCTGGCTTGCTCAGCGATCCCACCTCTTCCTTCGAGGACCACAGAGGGCTCTCCTTCCTCCTTTCCTTCCCTCCGGCTTCTCCATAAGGCCCTGTTTGCTCACTCTCTCTATCTTGGGCAGCCCATGAAGGAGGCTTCATCATAAAGATGAGCCGGCTGAGGGTCACTCACTTCATCCCCCAGACTTCTGATACCTTAGAGGACCTGGGGCCCTGGTGTGCGATCAGGGTTGGGGGTCTCAGCAGACTCAGGATCTCAGAGCCTGTGTGCTTTGGCAGTTCTAGGTTGAAAATCAAACCCACTGACTATACAGGGCCAGACACCCAGAAATCAGTGTGCTCAGTATTTCCTGCATGAATGGATGCCTGAAGGAGAAGCAGGTACTTCTTTGCGAGTGGAAAGCTGGCCCACACCCCAGCTCCGGGCTGCAGATGCCGTGAGGTGGGAGCCCATCTGCCCTGGCACTCAGAAGCCATGGAAAGGAACCGTATTTACAGCCAGATTTGAGGAATGGCGTCAGGGCTAAAAATGGACCAGGGAAACACCAGGCCGGCCCTCCCTCCACTCAAAACCACCTCCTGGCTCCTCGGCAGGAGGAAGACATGACCCAATGAATGCTTTCCCCCGGGCCAGGCCTCCCTCTCATTCCCAAGGCAGTGAAGGAGGGTGCGGGTTGAAGCTGTCAGCAATCATCTTGCTCCTGCCAAAGGGAGAGTCCGCCTCACAAGAAGGGAAATAGAGCTGAGGAAATAGAGGGAATATAGCCATGATGAATACCTACGCCTGAAGCCACTAAGCCTCTGGGTCAAGCCATGCCTGAAGTCAGACCCCAAACCAAATTTCAGTTACAGGAACTAATCTATTCCTTTTTTTTTTTTTTTTTTTGATATAGCAGTTGTAGCATGTATTCTGTCACTTATATGTCAAAGAGTCCTGAGTACTAAAAGTCAAAAATTCCTCCTCCAGCCTGTTGGAACAGCCCCTAAACCACAGCCTTGTCAACCAGAACTCCCAGCTGGCAGCATAAAGGTGAATTTCTCCTGCACTATCACAGAGAAGAAAACGCTCCACCAGGACCCGGGTGAGGAGAGCAGGCCACAAAGCCTCAATCCTTTCTGGAAACGGGAGGCATGCTGGACAAGCAGCAGGAGGAGCCCAGGCCTGTCAACCTGGGCCGCCGCGCAGACGCACGCAACCTCAGACCTGTAACAGGTCCCACGCCTGCAGATGGGGGCCTCTCGGGGAGGGAGAGGTCGTCAGCGAGGGACAGGGAGGAAAAGGCACGAGGAAGCAGAAGGAAGGGTACCAACCCTCCAGCAGTGCCCTCAGGACCCGAAATCCAATCCAGGTTGCCGGCCAGGAGACGAGCCCTGCCGGATCCCCAGTCACAGCTGTGTCTCTCCTGCCGATCAGCCACCACAGCTGTCTCCTTCGGTTCCTTAAACACCCTGAGCCCCTGGCCTCTGTCTGCCCAGGAGCCGCCAAGGCTGTGCATGCCGTGTGGCTCAGCTCCCTTGCCGTCTCCTCCAGGAGGCCTCCCCGGACCCTCCAGCCAGTCTCTGTCACAACACCCTGTTTATTTTTTTCACTGAACACATCGCCGCTCAGTTATCGTACAGCTGTTTGGATCTGCCTTTTGTCAGAATGTCAGAGCTCCAGGGCGAGGAACGCGTCTGTGTAGTTCCCCGCTGTGTCCTCGCGCCTAGTACCTAGGACCCTGTAGATGCACACACTCGTGCTCAATGTGCAAAGACACAGGCAGGAAGGAGACGGCCGCGGGAGGAGGGGCCTGAAGAGAGAGCGGCCTGCGGAGGGACGAGGAAGAAGAGGTTTGGGGTGAGGCCGTGACCAGAGCTGTGACCGCAGAGCTGCTGGCGGGCCCTTAGCACTGGTGGTGCTCATTTCTGTAGCCTAAAGTGAGGTGCGGTGTGGCCTCTGTGTGCACCCACCGCCAAGCTCCTGGGCAGCATGGCTGAGTCAGGGAGGTGGCCTGCGGTGGTCCCAGCCCCGCCCCGCCCCACCCGAGCTCTGGGACTGTGGAGAGAAAGAAGCAGGACAGGACTCAGTTGAGGCCTGGGGCCTTTCTCCTGGGAAACCCTGGGGCTCTGTACCTGCCCCCGCTCCTTCTCCAGGAGGAGCACTGCCTAAGCGGAGGGCTGGGGAGCTGCCCTCCCTCCCTGTCCCCTCTTCCCACTTGCCAGCAGCTCTGGGATACCCCTCCCGATCTCACGGGTGCTCCCAGCAACTCCCCGGCGGTTACAGGCTTCCCTGAGGGGCAGGACCGATGCAGGGGTGAGAAGAGGCAGTGTCGGGGAGCTGTGCCCAGGCCCCGTGCCCACGGGCATGATACACGGCAAGAGGCCAGGCAGGTGCACTCACCTCTCGGGTGACCTTGCCATTGTTGTCAAAGTCGTACAGGGTGAAGGTCCACTCCTGCCGGCTGTCCTCCTCCACAGACACGTCACACTGGAGCTCCTGGATGCAGAGAGATGGACGGGGCTGGTCCCCTATCTGTGGCAATGCTGACTGGGTGGTGGAAGCATGAGCCCAGAGGCCAGGCCAAGGGGCGGCCACTTGCCCTCTGCTCTCCCCAGACCTGGAGTGGACAGGGAGTACCTTGGCCAAGACAGAACTGGCCCACAAAGGCAGCCAGGGGCTGGGCAGGGGTAATTTGGCCTGGGGAGGGATGCCTGCAGGGGTGCCTGGCAGTCTGTGTGTCTTCAAAGACAAAGGAAACACAGGGCAGTCTGAGAAGAGGCTCTGTGACCTCGGAAAAGCTGAATTTGGACCAAGGGCAAGAAACAACTAGAAGGCAAAGGAGAGGCAACTTGGGAGCCCCAGCAGGACCCCGGGGTAGACGAGCACGAGCGTGAGGGGCTCGGACGTCGGTCAGGCCCGGCCCCAGCCCCTGCAAGGCTCTCCACAGCTGTGTGATCCTGGCCATGTCGCTGCCCTCCACTGTGCCTCAGTTTCTCCTGGTATAAATTATGGACACAGACGGCCTCTCTCCCATAAGGTTGCTGGGAAGATGACATGTCCCCCAACACGCCCTCAGCCCGGCTGTTTCCCTGCAGCTGTGGTGGGGACAGTGCCCGACCTCCCGCCTCAGGTGCGCTTTTCTGTCTCAGGGCCATTGAGACTGGAGGGAATTGGCCCCAAAGTCACACAGTTACTAAGCGTACAGCCAGGATTTGGACCCAGGCCTGCCGACTTTAGAGCTATGCCCTGGTCGTCTCCGGAAGGCAGAGGGAAGGAGGGAGGGAGCGAGCGAGGAGGGCAGAGCAGCAGGGAGCTCCATGCCGCAGGCCTGGGCCTGGCTCTCAGCACCAGGGACTGTGCTGGATGCGCGGGAGCATGCTACACTGTCAGGAACAGACAGACTGTGAGCTCTGGGAGGCGCATCCCTGGTGTTGACCACCTAGGGAAACTGAGGCCCTGCGAGCATCAGGGGCCTGCCTGTGCCTCCTGCTCCTCCGTCCCACCTGAGAGCCCCCACAGGCACCCCAGAACAGCCTCAAGAGTTGAAAGGGAAGGTTTCACCAAGGCAACTGAGGCCCAGAGAGGTGAGAGTAGCAGCAGGGCCAGAATCTTGCCCCCCTCAACCATTCTCATGCCCCCTCCCAGGCTGCCAGGCACACCCCACGTGGAGGGGCTGGGGCCGGGCTGAGGGGGTGCGAAGCGGTAAGCTCCCGGGGTCTGCCCCATGCCGGGAAGGCCCCAGATGTGGCAGGAGGAACATCCCACAGAGGATGCTGTTCATGCAGGGGAGGGGCCTCCCTGTCTGAAAGAACCCCAGCTTCCCTCCTCCCAAAGCACCAAGCTGAGAAAGCCCGTCTCATCTCCCCAGGACCCAGCACCAAAAGGAAACTTACTTCAAACTTCAGCTGCTTCTTGGAGCCCGGGCAGGGTTGGCTCACTCGCTCCATCTTCTTCTCATCTCCGCTGCCCAGCCCGTCAGTCTTCTCAGGAGGCAGGGCCACTGTTGGGGAGGCAAGGGAGGGAACGTGAGGAGCTGGGTCCAGATGCAGGGCCACCTTGCTCGCTGCACCTTCGTCCTCCGGGTCTGGCCTGGATATTCTCACCAGCGGGGCCAGGCCCGCTTCTGCCCTGCCCATTTGCTGGGGTCAACATCACACTACTCTGGCGCCTGGTAGTGCCTGGGGCGACCCCCACTACAGGGTGAGACGCCCTCCATCCCAGCCTTCGACTTCTACTCTGCGGAGGCACACAGCCACCCAGAGGAGTGTCGGGCTGGAGGGCAGATGGCCGAGAGTGGAGGAGTGCTTCTGGAGCCCCGCGAGGGAGCTGGAACTTCACGGTCTGCAGTCCCACTGCCTTCTGTGCTGACATTTTGGCCTCTCCAAAGGTGCCACCCACCTGGGCACAGGATACACACCTTGGTGGATGGCCAGGAGGAGTGCCAGTAACAGAGTTCAACTGGGTTGGCAAAGGTGTGCACACATGCACTGGTACACATACACATGTATACACACACATGCACACACATGTACACTCATGCATCATACCTGCTCGCACACATATGCACACTCACACATGCACACACCCTCACATACACACAAAAGGCATCTTCAGGGAGCACACTCATCCTGAACCTTGCATTTGGCCTCTGGTCACCCCAGGTCCTTCGCTCTCTGCCAAAGGTCACAGTCCTGTGTGTGGCCTTCAAGGAGCTATGGGAGGGTGACTGTGAAATCCCAGGACCTACCGACACTATTTTCCTGAGGACACCAGCTCAGGGTAGCACCATCGTCCTTGACCTAGAACCCAGACTACAAAGTGCCATCACTTCTCGGAATGGCCCATAAGCCTTTTCTGCCTGTTTCATCTCGTCTGATAGAGGGGCCGGGATTTGCCGGGGACATCCTTTCCAGGCCACGCTCACAGCTTCTCTCATCCAATTCCCTTTGTTGCCTGGGGTAGTAAATGTGTTGTCCTGTTTTGAAGGTGAAGAAACAGGCTGGCTCCTACTCCAAGAAGGGACCCTGCCCCCTCCACCCTGTGAGGAGCTGAGACTCCCCGGTCAGAGAGGAAGGCAAGACAGGAATTTCTCGGGAAGTCAGCAGCTTGGAGAAATGAAGCCAGGCAACTAGCTTCATTTGTGTCCCTCCAATCCCACACTCCCACCATACTCACCCACCCCAGCTTTGCAAGTAAGGGCCCAAGGGCAGTCCCTGGGCCAGGCAGAGCGGGGACGCCCCCAGTGGGCCCGGGCCCCAGTTCTACTGCCCTGCTCCTGTCCTGTGAGATGGGAGCTCTCTCGTCTGCAGTCAGCTAAAGCACTTCCCCTGGTGCTCTTGTGCCTTGGTGCCACTGTATGTAGATGAGGCAGCAGTGACTAAGCACTTGCTGTTTACCAACTCTGGCCTCATGCAGCCCTGTGAGGCAGTTAGCTCCATTTTCCAGATGGGAAAACTGAGGCTCGGAGAAGATAAGTGCCTCACTAGTAAACGTCAGAGCTGGGATTTGAACCCAGGTAGCCTGAATCATGCTCACAGTCAGTCCACTAGACTGCCTCTCCATGCCTGAATTCGGGAGACTTGGTGTCTCTCTCGGCTTGCCTCTCTCTGTCTACGGAGGCCAGCCAGCCAGGGCAGTGGTCATCTCCACCTGGGTTCTGTTCTCCGGCACTGTGTGACCTTCTCTAGATGTCTCAATTTTCCCCAACTGTAAAATGAGGAAGCTACCAACCCCTCCCCCAGAGGATTCTTGTGTGGATGCAACAAGCTCTGATCAGAAAGGGCGAAGACCCCAGCACACTAGGCCCGGCCGGAGTAGTGACAGTCAGGGAACCATCAGCCCCACCGCACTGATTCCTGGGAACAGGACAGTTAGCAGCTAAGTTTTGTCAAAACTGAGGCTTCAGGAATGCAATAGACACAAAAGCATATCAAATACATATGGCCTGCACAGGCAGCTTTGGACAAGGCCCTTGACTCCTCTGGACCTCAGGCCCCTCATCTGTAAAATGGGAGTATGATGGCCTCGCCTTCACAGGGCTGTCGGGAGAGGACAATGAGGAGAGTGCTTACTGAGCACAGTGGCCGACACACAGTAAGTGCTCGAGAGATGCTGGCTTTGCCAAGGATGTCGACGGGCTGTGGTCCCAGCTCACAGCCCAGATCCCAACCATCCCCCTTGACCCCAGACTGTCCCAGTGGAAAAAACCACAGTAATATCACCGCCTGCATCATCCTCTACCCACCCCTCCCAGGCAGGGGGAAAGAAGAAAAAGAAAAAGAAGAAAGAAAAACAAAGCCCAGCTCCATCTTCAAAGCTGCTGTGTCTCTCTGCAGAGGACCTGGCTGGAGATGCGAGCTGGCCAGGTTTATCGAAACCAAACTTCAAGTTCAAAGGCAAGTTATCAGAAAACCACCTTCAGGTTCAATGTTGCCTTTCATGTTCCACTTGATAAAATCCAAAGAAAAGGAACCTCTGTCCCTGCTCTCTCCTTCTCTGGAGCACTCTTCCCCTACCATGCATGGACAGCCTGTCTGCCCTCAGGCCCTCGCCTCTTCCTTCCTTTCTCCCCACCTGAGGGGCTGGAAAACATCTCCCTCAACCCCTCATACGTCATCACCAAAGACCAGTGTGGCCCGGATTGTCCTCTCTCTACCAATGGCTCCCTCATCCCATCCCAGCTCAGAAAGACACCTGGACATCCACAGGTCAGCCAGCGGTCAGTGAACCTGCCAGGGGCCCCTCCCAGCATAGGGCCAGTGATCCGTGCTGCCCCGGGGCTGTAGGAGGTCAGGAACGAGGACAGTCAGCCCTCTATCCCCACCAGAGGAGGTCGTTCACGCTCTTACTGTCCCCTGCCCAGTAGGTAGAACAGGTGGCAGAGAACCAGCCACGAAGACTCCAATGCCAGGGGCAAGAGCTAGGCCTCCTCCACATATGAACTCTCTGAAACCAAACGAAGTCAAGCTACCATGGCCCCCAGCGAGCCCTGTGCAGAAGAAACCACCCTCCAGCCATCAAGGAGTACAGGCTCACTGGAGGCGGGAGACGGGGCCAGGGACTGGTGCTCGCTGCAGGCCGCCCAGGCCACGCCAAGGGGGATTGCAGTGATGCTATTTCTGTTGAGACCAGCTTTGGAACCACAATCTGAGTCTATTCTCTGTCTCTGATTCCTGTTTAGCTCAGTCATTCTTCCCCCTGGGAAATGATCTTTTGGGGGCCTAATTTCAGGAGGTGCTGATCACTCTTCAGTTGAAAGTCTGAGGAACTGCAGGAGAGACTGCTCATTCAGAAGAAAAAAGGAAAGCAGGGAACCAGGTGGGAAAAAAGGACTTTCACTTGCCTAAGGAGCACTTTTGGGTGACTGAAAGCAGGAGGTGGCAAACTACACTCAGTGAACCAAACCTGGCCCCCTGCCTGTTTTTGTAAATAAAGTTTTATTGAGATTCGGCCATGCCCATTCGCATTGTCCATGGCTTCTTTCAGCGTATGACAGCAGAGTTGAACTATCACAACAGAGCCCACAAAACCTAAAATACATACTGTCTGGCCTTTCACGAAAAAGTCTGTGGATCGATCGCTGCTTTAGGTGTGTGCCACCCTCCACCTCCACCAGGATATGTGCTTGATGAGCAGGGCACAGGCAATTCCACCTATTACTTGCCTACTTGGCTGGAAACCCTTGTGCAGTACACAACCTGCCCAACCATACAGTGGCCATGGAAGAAAGAAAATATCAGCTCTGCTTTCTTAAAGCCTATTGTCAGCCCATGTGAATCTGGGGGGTGGTAGTGGTTTGTGGAGCTCCTTCTCTTTGGAATCTGCTCCCTGTTCCTCCTCACACCACAGCCACGAGGAGTCAAGGAGTCGGCTTGCTGTGTTTACCAAATGACGGTTCTCTCCCTATTACCTCCCAGCCTGGCAGCTCTCCACCCCCAGCAACTGCCAGATTAAATGCATTACTTGACCATCTTCACCCGGCTCCCTTTGATGTTCCCTTCTCAAGCTTCAAAATACCTTTTGGAGGGAGATCAGACAGCATTAAACAGAATTACTAATTAATTAAGCAAAGTTAAATTTTAAACACTGTTTGTTGTGTTAGCCAAAAGCCTGAACAGAACAGACTTTTTTCCTCCGCTGAGATCAAAGACAGTCTCTTCCCTCTCCCCTCCCCCAGTTTTTAAAAAAAGGGAGGGGTGGGGAGGAAGAGAGAGAGAAAGAAGAGAGTGAGGAAATACCTGAATGATGACAACTTTGATCATGGGTCCAGGTGCCCCTCCCCACCTCCCCGTGGGCCCAGTGGGAGGCTCCTTGGGGACCGCCTGCTGTGAGAGCCACAGTCACTCGGGACTGTTTACCCTGGCAAATGGCAGTGACCCAGAGAGCAGGATGGCACGGCCCGCCCAGCCCAAGCTGCTGACAGCTGGCACCACCCAAACAGCATGAGAAGAAGGCCTGTGAAATAAAACAGACCCGCCCTCCTCACAGTCCTGCCCAACCACCGGGTGAGCTTCTCAGGGCTCTTCCCCTTGGTCTGGAGTCACTTGGGGTAACAAGGGACCAGCTCCGAGAAGCAGGCTGTGCACTGTACAACCACGGGGGTGCCACCCACACGACCCACACCCTAGATATGCGTATTGCTTGTGATATCCTTTGGACAGAGGGCAGAAATGTGTCTTCAGGAGGGGCAACTTTTTTTCAAATTTGCCCCAATGCATCCAGAGCTGGCAAGGTGCTGTCTCCCGCTGTCCAGTCTAGCACTTTATTCTGTACAGTCCTATCTGGGACCTTCTGATTGCTTCACAGGAGCCTCCATCTCTGCACAGCCAGAAAGCAAGTTTCATGAGCCCTGGGGCCCTCTAGGCTTCTGCTCCCAGGGTGCCCGATGCCTAGCACTTCCCATACGTGCACAGAGCAGGGATTCTGCCAGGCCCGCTGAATCGCAGCACATTCTATGGGTGGGCACCGGAAGCTTGCCTATATAATGAATATGCCATACCT